CTATACATCCCTCCCTCCCTCCCTTACGTTCAGATTTCTTTTCTATCAAGTCGAACGCTGATATCAAAAAAAAAGAGAGGAAGGTTGTGCAGCAGAGTAACCTGCCGAAACCCTTGTCCCAGTCTGTGATCAGGGCGGAACCAGCGACTACATGACATTTTCAGGGGCAATCCAACGGTCATTGTGGCCCCGGCTATCGTCTATTTCATGAACGATTCCCAGTGCAGACATCCGAGCTTCCTCATTCTCAAGAAGTATCTAGGCAACATTAAAAATAGGAAACCAAGTGCGGTTGCTAGGTATATATCACATTTTAGGTGCCCCATAAGGCAACATGCTTCCACTGGCTTGACCATTAGCCTAGCCCCAATGCACTGACAACAGCGGGTGTAGATAAACTCCTAGGGTGTAAGAATGTGTAGACTATCGTATAAGCACAGTCCCTTTATGTCCCACTTTTGGTAATACGCCAAGAAAATAAAAAAGCAAAGTAAATTATGTAAGCAGAAAAGTGCAATCGTCGATGGAAGGAGGCCATCGATGTGACGGCAGCTTGGAAAAGTGCAGAAAAGAACACAAGAGTAAAGAGATAGATTACTTTGTTTGACGCCATAGAAACGTCTGAATTGGTAAGGGCACCGCTTCGCACTCTGATTCCGCGCCATCGTCCACCCTGAAAGCAGTAACTGCTGAATGATAATACACATTGTAACAACATATAAAAACTGCCGAAGTGGGAGTTTTTCCTCCCTATCCACGCTGCCTTTCCTCCAAATCAAACCCTGCTGCCAGGGAGAAGAAGAGCGTCATCGGCAGCAGCATAGCAGAGACGGCAGCAGCGCCGGGACGATGGCTTTGACGAGGGGAAAACACTGCTGCGGTCTGCGCTACTGCTGCTTGGTATCGCCGTTGCAGCCCACTAGCAGGTCCCATCCTGGCTATAAATCCCTTTTGTTGATTCTGCCTCGACATTAGACCCCTGTTCCAGAAATCCCACAATCGAGGGCACCCATGTGGGGGTGTCTAGAATGGGGATATTCTCGCCTTTTAGACCCCCGAATTTACGCATACATCTCCTGCTATCGAACGCTTTAATAACAAACGATCAACACTGCTATTTGACCGTGTAATTATGCAGTCGGACCTTCAGTCGGGCCGAGGGGCTAAACGCTTTTGGGGGCGGTGACTTCGACGTCGAGGGAGAGGCAAGATGTCGCGCGCTTCGTCGGCTTGGCAAAAGTGCTAATAGGCTGTCCCGAATTGCGCTTTGAAGAAATCGCTAGGCCACATCGCACCCATGCACGACGAACAAAAAAGAAAGAACTTGACTAGGCTTAAAAGTCGCCCTGGGGGCTGCCGCTAACACCTTCTTAATCTTATCCCACCACCGTACCGTATGCTTCACCATTCCGTCTCAAGCATACGATTTCCTACCGTAACCAGCTCACGACATTGTTAAAAGTTTACTTTCTTCTTCGGCTTCTACGTCTGAATATACGGGGCATTACTTGAAAGACTGCTCACGCAAGCTATCAATATGATACACACCAAGGAAAATAGGAAATCCACTCCTGACTCCGAACCGATGATATTCTGACCACCTCGGGGAAAAATTTCTGGAAAGTCCCTCCCGAGCTTACAACCATAAAAGGCCAGGCTACTGATGGCGTTACATGTTCCGAACAGATTCATGGCAGACTATAAATCTATCACGAGAATGGCCTACTCGTATATTCAGGGTTCTCAAGTAGAAAAGCAGTCACCAGACAGTTTATGGAAAGGGTTCCTTTCCAATCTGACACCGTAAATCGGTGAAGTATGTCTATGGGGAGGGGGTGGAGAGCAGGACATAATGGATGGGGAGTGCGTTGCGATAAATGCTCCTCACCGGGCGGCATCGTTTATTATTGTCGATCCCAGCCACTCAACGATTGGTGGTCCCAAGCAGTTTTTCATGTTTTTTGATTATTGGTACTAAGTGAATAACTGCTAGCTGTAGAACTTACCATTTGGTGCTCTTCATCGAGCTGGCGGCTGTGCTCAGCGGCATAAGCAGCAACTGAACGGTGCCCTGATGTTGATGCTGTAAGTAACGAACGTGCATGATGATCGAGAAGATGATTTAGGCGACGACAGAGGCACGAGCGAGGGGTCAGCCGCCGATGAACATCGCGTGGGAATATTTGAGTGGGCGGGACACACTCCGTGAAGCGGGAGAACAACAGCTCGCTAGGGCGGAGCAACTCGTCTCCACACATCGATCGCTTGCAGCGCGAAATTAAAATATCCAAATAAAGAGATGAGAGCTTGGACCTAAGAAACACTCCCCTGGGGGGTGAGACTTCCACCACCAAGCCCGTCACACTCCGCCGCCTCTCAATCAGGGTCAACTGGGACTTTCGCGTTGAGCTTTACTCATTCTCCATTAGTTCCTTCAATTCTCAGCTCTCAGATCGATGGCGAGGCTCACTGGCGAAGGTCATCATTGAGTGACGGGCTTCGTTTCCGTTTTGAGGTCAGCTGCGGTGATTGCGATGGCGGTGAAAAAGCGGAAAATCGTATGGATTCGCTGGAAGAAGCGAGAGCTCTTAGAGGAAATTGGATTCATTGAGCACACAGCGGTTGATGGCGGCCGGATGGCGAAAAATCCATCACTTTGGGGCAGCCGCGATGTGCGTGTATGGGTGTGTGTGTGTGAGCAGGGAAACTCCTAAATAGAGCAAAAGGCTATGCAGGGTTGTAGTGCTTGGCTCCTCTGGAGCCAGCTCAACAGCATACAAAACAATACTTATCCACCCTCACCCAAATAAAGACCACCGGCGACAAGTTGGATGCAATCTCATGTCAATCAAATTTTCTGACGGCTTCTCATAGCGATACTACGCTCTCTCCTCGCCACTGTTTCACTCCCGATTTTGATTCGACGTATTCCGATAAACAAAAATTTGCAGTCTAGCAGGAAGGAATGCCTTTGGAAGGAAGAACAGACACCCCCTGCCCTCTATACCTCAAGAAAAACAATCTACGCATGGGAATCATTGAGCTTTGGCCAGGGTGAGAACAATAATGAAAGAACAGTCAAAACGAAAACGAAGAAATTAAAATCTCACGGAAATTCTCGAAATTTCGACAATCACATGAAACTTGAGAAACAAAAAGAGTATTCGTAAAAGTATATCACGTAAAGCGTTTCGGGGAAAGTTCTCGAGAAACGAGCTTTTTCGCCCAAACGAGAGAGCAACTGATGATGAAAATTCCTTCATAGCGATTTCAAATTCGTACGAATGCAGTAAAAACAACGAAAACTGGCTAATATAGTAACGAGAATGTTAGCAGAAATACGCCAAGTTATTCGGTCCAGAAGCGAAAAGTCATGGTCCGTATTGTGGCCAAAGAGATGTTTCAGTAAATAAGGGCAAATGAGCGAGACCATTCCGAGAAATTCTTCACAAGAGGAAATACATATGAGACGGACACGATGGCAGGAAAAATTAAAAATTGATGAAATAAGCAAGAGAACGTTCTTAAAAATATCATGGAAATTGATATGTCATAAGGAGAAAAGGCTTACATAGGAGGACAAAGGGCAAACAAACAAACAACCGCAAAAGGAAACCTCCTCTAATAAGAGTGTCCTTAGGGATCTGATTAGAAAACACAGATATGGCTTTATGTGGGATGACTTTGGTAACTAAGAAAAGTCAAACGCCAAGGCACATGAGTCTTCACCATTTCTTCAAACATTCAGTTGGTTGGCGGTGAAGCTCCACAAGGGGAATCGACAGCGCAAAGCACTTATCCGATATTAGTAATGGATGAAGTCGAAAAACCTCGAAGTCAGCCATCACAGTGAGTTGATTCGAAACATTGCGTTCATACTTCTATCAGTGGGACTTGAGCTCAAATTTATGGATTGATGGAGTTGGACTTTATTGATTGTTGCCTTTGAACTCACTTGCGTCAACAACTCTATAAACCCGTCCATGCCACTGTCCACCAGTCATTCCTTTCTCCAGAAATATATGCGCTATCCTATACCAGCTGCCTACTTCTACCTACGGTTCAATAGACGAAGGGAGGGGTCGGGGGAGTTGTATATAGCACCATGGCATACGGTCGCACAGCTCTTCGACCTACAACTGATGGGCAAAAATAACAAATACCGAATAGACTTGTAGCTCAGAAGAAATCAGATAAACACGTAGGAGCTAAGATTTTAGTGGAATCGATGGAATCGATTGTTCCGGGAATTCCGTTCAGGCAAGGTTGACAAAGAGCAACGCGAACCATAAACCAACTTAGCTTGGAAATCTGCTAAGGCAAAGAAATCGCCAGTACGAGTGATGCATCATCCATCTGTTTATAGGAGCATGTACATGTATGCGAACTGCTCGAGAGAGGAGGGTATGGGCAGGAATGAGAGGATTTCCGAAAGTTAGAGAGTCATAGAAGCCTTATTTCAGAGGTGGGAAGACTTATAGACCCTGGTTATGGGTCCTGCATGGATTATTCGGAAAAGGCAGTAAAGAATTTCCTTGTCAAATGGTTAACCATATATTATAACTTCGCTGTAGTCAGGCATCTACATTATCATTGATATCTGTTCCCACTTCTCACTTCAGTACTGGACAGATTTGAACAGTCCAATAATCCATCTGGGAAGGATCTCCCAAGAGAGGATCACACCTGCTGTTATTGAACCCTTTAGCGTTACGAGAAGTTTCAAATTAAGAAACGAATTAAGGCAGCATTTGGTTTTATTGATGGCCCA